GTCACTCAGGACCAACCATGGGCTGGCCAAGCCACCTCTCTCGGCTCTCCCTGACCACTCCTCCCACGTCCGCCAGTCCCAGCATGGTCAAGCTGCCATCTGGGCCTACTGGCCTCTCAGCTCCACTTTCACCTCTTTTCGTCTGTCCTTGGTGCAGTGGCCTTGAAACCCTGACTCAGATCATGCCACCTCTGCAATGGCTTCCAGCTCAGAGTCCGTGGAATGTCTCCCCATGGCTCGCAAGGCCTGCACTACCGTCCCCAGTCACCTCTCTGTCCTGCTCCTCCATTCTCCTCCTGCCTGGCTCCAGCAGCAGTTGTTCCTTAAAACCTCTGAGGACACTCAGAGTGCCCCAGGACTTTTGCACTTGTGTTTTCCTGACTAGAATGCTCTTCCCCAGACACCTGAGGGCCCTCCTGCATGAGAATCAGGTTTCTGGTCAAAGGACACCCATCAGAGAGGCCTTCCCTGACCACCACCCCCATCTGTCCCTCTCCTTGCCTGCTGTGTCACTGGCAGTGCTATACATTCATTCACCACTGAAGCCACTGCGTGAGGGCCAGGGGCTGGGATGGCGCCCAGCACATAGTGGATGCTCAATAAACATTTGAAGAATGTATGAATGAACCTCTTCAAGCTTCAGTCTCCAAAGGGGATATTAACAGCATTTGCTGTGAAGATTCATTGAAATACTGCATGAAATGCACTGGGCATAACACCTGAGCATGAGTCCTACCACCACCAGCCAGCCCTCTGCAGCAACTGAGGATAAAAATATTCAGGGGCCAGGCGCAGTGGCGCACACCTGTAATCCCAGCACTTTGGGAGGCCAACACAGGCAGATCACCTGAGGTCAGGAGTTCGAGACCAGCCTGGTCAACATGGTGAAACCCTATCTGTACTAAAAATATAAAAATTAGTCAGGCACAGTGGTGTGTGCCTGTAATCCCAGCTACTCAGGAGGCTGAGGCAGGAGAATCACTTGAACCTGGGAGGTGGAGGTTGCAGTAAGCTGAGATCATGCCACTGCACTCCAGCCTGGGCAACAGAGCGAGACTCTGTCTCAAAAAAAAAAAAAAGAAAGAAAATAAAAGAAAAAAAAAATGCTGGGCGCAGTGGCTCACACCTATAATCCCAGTTATTTGGGAGGCCAAGTCAGGTGGATCACGAGGTCAGGAGTTTAAGACCAGCCTGGCCAAGATGGTGAAACACCATCTCTACTAAAAATACAAAAAAATTAGCTGGGCGTGGTGGTGGGCGCCTGTAATCCCAGCTACTTGGGAGGCCGAGGCGCTTGAACCCGAGAGGCAGAGGTTGCAGTAAGCCAAGATAACGCCTCTGCACTCCAGCCTGGGCGACGGAGTGAGACGCCATCTCAAAAAAAAAAAAAGGAAAAAACAGAAAGAAAGAAAGAAAGAAGGAAGGAAGGGAGGGAGGGAGGGAGGGAGGGAGGGAGGGAGGGAGGGAGGAAAGAAAGAAAGAAAGAAAGAAAGGAAGAAAGAAAGAAAGAGAAAAGAAAGAAAGAAAGAGAAAGAAAGAAAGATTGATTCAGAAAAAAATTAAAACAAAAATTAATAACAAAAAAATACAGTATAACTACCTAGCATGTACCCTGTATTAGGTATAAGTAATCTAGAGATGATGTACAGTATATGGGAGGGTGGCCAGAGGTTACACTCGAATACAACTGTCACAGAGACCACATTGTTTTCCATCAGAGACCTGCAGCATCTGACGATTTTGGTATCCATGGGGAACTGGAACCAATCCCCTGTGGATACCCAGGGACAACTGCATTGATATAGCTGATTAGGAGGTTATTTAAGTGCTTCCCTGGTTGTGGCCCGCTGGCCTGTTTTTGTTTTTGTTTTTTAAGACAGGGTCTCACTCTGTCACCCAGGCCGGAGTGCAGTAGTGTGATCACAGCTCACTGAAGCCTCAACCTCCCAGGTTAAAGTGATTCTGCTACCTCAGCCGATCCAGTAGCTGGGACTACAGGTGCACACCACCACACACGGCTAATTTTTGTATTTTTTGTAAAGGCAGGGTTTTGCCATGTTCCTCAGGATGGTCTCGAACTCCTTGACTCAACTGATCTGCCCATCGGGCTTCTGGCATCCAGGAGCTGGGCCTCATCATCCCACTCCAGATGCCGTCCGGATATTCTCCCCGGCAGCAGCCCACTGAACCGCAACATGTTTCCGTAACTTGTTTCTGTAACTTTTCTCCTTCAGAAACCACTTTGCAGAGCTCGCTCTCTCTCCCACTAATGACCACAAACTGTTCCAGTGAAAAACTTTCTCAAAATGAGGCTAATCAAAAGTTTATGACCAAAAAAAGAAAAAACAAAAAACCGTATGCCAAACACACAGACACATGCTGTCTGTCTTCCAAATCTTACTGCATCTTTTTTTTTTTTTTTTTTTTTTGAGACAAAGTCTCCCTTTGTCACCCAGGTTGGAGTGTAGAGGCACAATCTCGGCTCACTGCAACCTCCGCCTCCTGGGTTCAAGCAATTCTCATGCCTCACTCAGCCTCCCGAGTAGCTGGGAATACAGGCATGCCCCACCACATCCAGCTACATTTTTGTATTTTTAGTAGAGACGGGGTTTCACCAGGTTGGCCAGGCTGGTCTCAAACTCCTGACCTCAGGTGATCCACCCACTTCAGCCTCCCAAAGTGCTGGGATTACAGGCGTGAGCCACCGCACCCGGCCAAATCTTACTGTATCTTAACCACTCTGCCATTCATGAGCCACTGCGAACCTTCACAACGAACTGCACAAAAACACACTGTTGGCTGGGCCAGCAGGAAGTGACCTGAGGGGGCTTGTGCATAAATAAAAGCGTCCTCAGCACCCGCTATGCATTTGGCCAGCCAAGCCCCCAGTGCTGGGAGACCCACGTGTACCTTAATGACTGCGGGTCAATGTCAGGCCTGCAGGAAGCCGGAGGGCAGGGACCTCCTCCAGCTGTGGAGAAGCAATGTAGACAGGAAAGAGCACGACACACCCAACACCCCAAGGCTTAGGCCCACGACATCTTCCAGCAGGAGTCTTTGGCTTTTTAAATACCCCGGCCTCGCTTCCTGTGGCTGCTGTAACAAACGACCACCAACTTACAGCTGAAAACAACAGCAATCCCCAATCAGTTACCACTGGGCCAAAATCAAGGTGTCGGCTGGGCTGTGCTTCCACCAGAGGCTCTGGGGCAGACTCCGTTTTTTGCTTCTTCCAGCTTCTGGTGGGCCTGGCCTGCCTTGGCTAGTGACTTGGTCACTCCGGCCTCTGCCTTCATGGTGACAAGACACTCCTGTGAGTCAATGTCCCTGTGCCACCCCATTGTTAAAAGGACACACACAATGACACTTAGGGCCCACCTGGGTAACTCAGGGCCATCTCCCCAGCTCAAGCTCCGTGACTTCATCACGTCTGCAAAGACCCTTGTGTGTGCACCATATAAGAGACCTTCACAGGATGTGGATGTCTTTGCAGGACCATTTTTCAGCCTCCAAACACCCTCTTCACTCTTCACCACCTCATATCTCTGGCATGCTGGGTGCGTGCAAAGGTGAAAGGAGAGGGGAAGCATGCAGGCCAGGCAGTGGGCGGGAATGCCAGGACGGCCAGGCACCGCAGCTGCAGCCCTGGCTACAGGGGCCATGTCAGGAGGTTGGGGCCAGCTAGGGACGGTGTGGCTCAGAGTACAGGTGCTCCCCAGCCCAGCCAAGGCTTTTGAGAAGAAAGGGGTGTCCAGGAGGCCTGTGTTTGGCTACACCAAGCTCGCCAGTCTGTCCTACCTCTGAACCTCCCCTTGAAGCCCCTCCTCTGTGGGCCGCCAGGGCATCCATCCTCGGAGCGTGTCCGGCATGTTCAGGATAGCAGGGACAGGGCATTCTTTGGAATGTACTGTCTTTGACATGAGCAGGCTGGCCCCCACCCACTTCTCTCACCAGATGGAGAAAAATCTCAAGTCATAAACTAAATGAAAAACATGTCCTGTTCTGCCCTGGGATCAAGGGCTCACCTTAAATGAAAACTGTCTGGAACAATGTGCTGCTGACGCTGATCTTGGCCTTACTCTGCAGATTAGCCTCGGGGGTGATCACAGGGTGCTCAGGGCTCTGCATCAGCAAGCCCAACCCCCGCTGAGCCCCGGGACCACCCACTCCCCCAGCAGGATCCCTGGGAAGCAGCCCAGAAGCACCCCCCAGAGACAGCCTTGGGAGAGCAGGCCAGGAACACCAAGAGCTTCACCCCACAGTCTGGGGGTAGTGGGGGGGGGTCATCTCAGAAAGGCTGAAGAAGGAGCTGACGGCCCTCCCCTCCCACACTTTCCTGAAAGGGCCCAGAGCCCACTTCCCACGCAGTCCACCCACCCCTCGGTGCTGGTGCCCAGGCACCCAAACATCCCCTGGCACCCATCAGGAGCTGGTGCCACGCTGGCTGCTTGTTTTCAACTGATGTCGGCTTGCTCCTGCTACCCAGCTCACCTGGGTCCTGAATGTGCAGGCCGTTTTGCAGGAAGCCTCATGTGGGAAAAATAACCATGTTTATGGAACACATGAGGGGTGGGGGACTCACAAGCAAGTGGCTTTACCGTGTGACATGGCAGACAGGGAAGAGAGCCCCTACTTCCTGGACAACCCACTTCATGCATGAGAAGGCCACCAGATTGCCGGGCACATGTGACCAACAGCAGCCCCACCGTGGGGCAGCGTTCTCCTGCAGGCTCTTGTGAGGCTAGGAGGGCCACCCCTGCAGTCCTGGACCATCCTGACACCAGCCTGGGCAGCCCAATGGCTGCTGGACCCCCAAGGCGAGAGGGCAGGAAGCGCCTAGTACTCCACACCAGCCAGTGACAGACACGGGAGGGAAGAGCAGAGCTGTCTGTCTGTCTGTCTGTCTGGCCAGCCAGCAGCAACCGCCGCAATCCCCTGCATGTAGGGCTCAGCCAGCAATGGGATACTCCCGTCTGGACAGTGTCAGGCATATCACTTACCACATTCCAGTAAAGCGGATTGAAGGCGATGGTGAGGACGGCAGCCACAAAGCTGGGATCCAGGGGGTCCACGTAGCCCAGCAGCCAGGTCATAACGCAGAGGTCTGCCTGCAGGGACAGAGCCAGCATCAGCACCGCTCAGACACAGCAGGGCCTGTGAGCCCCCAGGAGTCGGAGACAAAGTTACCCTCTGGGAACACGCCGGGAGGCCTGGGAACATCCAAGTCCAGCAAAGGTTACTACAGTGTAGTCTCATAAAAGGGAAGATAAAAATCTGAAACCTAATGAGCTGTGTCATGCCCTGGGAGGGCGGCCACAGAAGTGTGCCTGGACACCAGATGAGGAAATCAGCACCTCTGAAGAGGGGTGCCTGGTGCCCTGAAGGGAGGTGACACCAACCCTGGTGTGACGGACGGAGACCCTCCGGGATAAGGGTTCTCAGAGGCCCCAGAGAAAACCCAAGCAGCTGAAATAAATGTGAAGAGATGCTCAACCTCACTAGGAATCAGGTAAAAGCAAATTAAAACAATAGTGGTGCGCCTCTCCTCACCCACACTTGACAGGGGACACTCTTGAGTGCACACGAAATCTTGGCGCAAGGTGAACTGAAAAAGTGTGCACCCACACCCCAGCCACCCCACTCGCATACACATGGACACTGCCCCCTCCCCATCAGCTTGCATGAAAATATCGGGAACAATGACAAACAGCTGAGGTGTCCAGCGACCAAAGAAATGAAAAAACCCATGGCCCATTCCTACAGCAGCTAAACTACAGCAGTTAAAAGCACTAGGTCTACACACAGCACTGTGAAACGTTCTCAAACACACCGTTAAGTAGTAGAGCAGGCTGCACGATTCAGTGCCTAGACAGAAATTTCTAGAAAACAACACAAAATATACTACCAAATATTCAGTTTTAATTTTTTTTTTTTTTTTTTTTTTTTTTTTTTTTTAGAGACAGAGTCTCCCTCTGTCGCCCAGGCTGGAGTGCAGTGGCACGTTCATAGCTCACTGCAACCTTGAACTCCTGGGCTCACTTTGGGAGGCCAAGGTGGGAGAACACTTGAGGCCAGGAGTTTGAGACCAGTCTAGGCAACATCGTGAGACCCTGTCTCTACGAAAATGTAAAAACTAGCTGGGCGTAGTTCCAATTACTTGGGAGGCCAAGACAAGAGGATCACTTGAGCCCAGGGGTTTGAGGCTGCAGTGAGCTGTGATCGGGCCACTTGCACTCCAGCCTGGGCAACGCTGTCTCAAAAAAAAATTAATTAGTTAATTAAAAAATAAATAGGCCGGGCGTGGTGGCTCACGCCTGTAATCCCTGCACTTTGGGAGGCCAAGGCGGGTGGATCACGAGGTCAGGAGACCGAGACCATCCTGGTTAACACGGTGAAACCCCGTCTCTACTAAAAATACAAAAAATTACCCGGGCGTGGTGGCGGGCGCCTGCAGCCCCAGCTACTCCGGAGGCTGAGGCAGGAGAATGGCGTGAACTCGCGAGGTGGAGCTTGCAGTGGGCTGAGATGGTGCCACTGCACTCCAGCCTGGGCGACAGAGCAAGACCTGGTCTCAAAATAAATAAATAAATTAATTAATTAATTAAAATAAAAAACTGTTTCTAAAATGCACTGAAAAATATTACGGTGTCTCTCCACATGCAACTCAAAATTTTTTTAAATACTAAATTATAAAATAAGTGTAAAGTTGTGCTTGCTTCAGCAGCACATATACTAAAATTGGAACGATACAGAGAAGATTAGTATGGCCCCTGCACAAGGATGACACACAAATTCATGAAGCATTCCACAAGGAGGGGAACATCACACCAGGGCCTGTCGGGGGTGGGGGGCTAGGGGAGGGATAGCATTAGGAGAAATACCTAATGTAGATGATGGGTTGATGGGTGCAGCAAACTACCATGGCATGTGTATACATATGTAACAAACCTCCACCTTCTGCACATGTACCCCAGAACTTAAAGTATAATAATAAAAATCTTTTAAAAAAATTAAAAACAAAAAATTTTTTTAAAAAGTATAAAGTCCATCACAGCTGTGATCTTTCCCATAATGGTGTGTTTTGTTCTATTGCATTTGGAAATACAGTAAATTCCTTCAAAGAACACTTTGATCTCCCACATTTTGGGGGAGGGGTGGGGAGGAGATGGTGCTTCTGCCCAGGGTCAGCCAGCCCTGGGGGGCAAGCACAGCCTCCACTCCAATCCTTGCTTAACCAAACGACAGTCTCCTGACATAACTCTGCCTGCTACCAGGCCACTTGCAGGGTGTGACCATGGGATGTCCCTCAGACGTCTATCAGTACAAAGCCATCTTCCGCTATGGCCTGCCATCCTTCCCATGTGTGGCCTCCCCACCTGATCAGCCTGTATCCCTGAGGTGCAAACATTCATCTCACTACAGGGCCAAGGGCAGAGCTAAGCAGATATTAAATGCTCTAAGCCAGGCGCAATGGCTCACGCCTATAATCCCAGAACTTGGAGAGGCCGAGGTGGGTGGATCACCTGAGGTCAGGAGTTCAAGACCAGCCTGGCCAACATAGTGAAACCCCCCTCTCTACTAAAAATTAAAAAATTAGCCAGGCGTGGTGGTGCACACCTGTAATCCTAGCTACTCGGGAGGCTGAGGCAGAAGAATCACTTGAACCTGGGAGGTAGGGGTTGCACTGAGCCAAGATGCGCCACTGCACTCCACTTGGTGACAGAGCAACTCTTCATCTCAAAACAAACAAACAAACAAAATGCTCCAACGCAGACCCCTCTTGAGGGATGAATGTAGCCAACATGGGACCAAAGGTGCACTGCTACTGGAATCTGGAGAGAACAGCTGAGTGGGTGAGTGGCCACGGCAGCAGACATGGGCATCAATAAGCGAATGACTAAGAAAAGCCACTCCACAAATGGCGGGAAGAAGGAACCAGGGAAGCACCACTTGCCTAGCTGTGGCCACAGCCTCTGGGCACCACGCAGTGCCTGCCCAGCACCTGCAGCCAACAAGGCCTGGCACTCCAGCAGGTGCCTCCAAACGCCTGGGGCTGTGAGCCAAGCCCCACACTCCCCAGAGCAGGCACTGGCCACTCATGAAGGACAACTGGACGAGGCTCAGAGCAGGCTGCCCTGCCCTGAAGGGAGGCAAAGGGAGGGGAGGGAAGGTCTCTGGTGTAGTCCCAAAGCTTCTAGAACCTGGGACTTAACCTGAGGCCTGGCCTTATCTTCAGTTTGATGATAACATCTATTAAGCACCTCCAGTCCATCCCAGCACTTTGGGAGGCCAGGCAGGCAGATCACAAGGTCAGGAGTTTGAGACCAGCCTGGCCAATATGGTGAAACCCCATCTCTACTAAAAATACAAAAATTAGCCAGGTATGGTGGCGCACGCCTGTAGTCCCAGCTACTCAGGAGGCTGAGGCAGAAGAATGGCTTGAACCCAGGAGGCAGATGTTGCAGTTGAGCCAAGATCATACCACTGCACTCCAGCCTGGGTGACAGAACAAGACTCTGTCTCAAAAGAAAAAAAAAAACACATCCGATTCCAAGGCCCTGTCCCTTGACAGCCTGGTGGGGGAGGGTGGAAAGCTGGCTCAGGGCAGAGTCCTGGCTTTGGTCATGCCTGGCACTTACGAAGTGCACCGAGGGTGGGTTATCTCCCTGCATGTGCACGGCAGACCCTATGAGTGTGCCAGCGGCCAGTTTTCACCCATCCCACCCGCTCCCCATTCCCCATTCAGCCCCCAGCCAAAACCTGGCCTCGCCCCACCCCTCCCTTGTCTCATTCCCATTACCAATGCTCCCGTGGCCCATCTGTTATTCCGCCTCTTACACAACCACCTAATACACGCCCTCCCCCAACCCTGGCTTTGCCGGTTGCTCCCCAGGGCACAGCAAAGGACCTCAGTGGACTCCTGGCTTTGGACTTCCCCCAGAGCCCTCCCCATGGACCCTTACCTATGGACCAGCACGCTGTTAGCCAAGCCAAAGAGGAGAAAGGGCAGAGTGTGAGTCACAGAGCAGAGCCTCGCTCAGCTAGGGGAAAGGGGAAAGCAGGAAAGGCCTAGGCACACTGAGCCTGGGGCCAGGAAGGGACACAGGGCATTTTCCAGGGCCAGGAAAAACACTTTCCATATCACTGGCACCTCTTCAACTCTACACCTAAGAGAGGTGCATCTTCCCGAGTGTAAATGATCTCCCTACTGCTTCCCCGCTGGGCCCTGGGCGAAATGCTGCCTCTCATAAGGAATTCAACTCAATGTTAGTCACCAAATGCTGAGCTCCACTAAGGAGGTCCTCACTCTAGGGGGTCTAAGAAAACACAGGACCTGGCAGTGAGCGCACACCTGTCTCTGGCCATCCTCTCAACCACCCTAAAAGTAAAGCCCTGTTGTTAGCCTACTCGGCAGATAAAAGAGCAAAGCCTCCAGACCCCAGACAGTGAGGAGCAGAGCCAGCCTGAGCAAGGCCAGCCCTACCGGACAGAAAGCCCCATGAAAAAGGACAGGGGTAAAAGTGAGTGCTTCTGGGTCTTGAAACCCAAGGAGACTGGGAAAGTGAGCAAGAAATATGCTTTTTTCACCTTTTGTGGGAGCCAAGATGAAGGAGGGAAACTGAGGCACTGAACGATTAAGCAACTAACACTGAGGGAACCCAGCAGCAGCTGACATCCACCTGAGTCTCCCAATTAGGGCTGAACTGGTCAAAGCTGGAACATGTCCACCCCCTCCCCCCTCTCCCTCCCGTAGCCAGATCCCAGTGGCCTCAGGTCAGCCTGTCTCAGGAGGGTGGCGGTGTGCATCCGGTCACTTCAGTCACCTTGAGGAGGATTTGTGTTGCCCGGAGGAGCGCCTGCTTCGCTGGAAAGAATGACTAATGGTTCAGAGTGGAATTCTAGGCAGCAGAGGGAAGCCCCTCCCAGCTCCCGGATCCCCACTCAGAGACATGAAGGTCCCTTTCTGATAGCTGTCATTTCCAAAACCCCCCTCAGGAGGGTGGACCTCCCTCCTGAAACTGGGTTGGCAAAAAAGAACCACATCCAGATCATCAGACGTGAGCAGAGTAGGAGAGTCCTGGGTCCCACATCCAGGCTTTGCCTGCGG